TTAATTTTTTAGTAAGTACTTATTTAATTGCGCGATTTAAAAAAATGAATTCATATTTTATAATATTTATTTTGTAAAAAAATGCATGATTTTAGTATAAAACGATAATGATTGTTTCAATAAACGAATATTGCTATAATAATAATAATAATAATAATAATAATAATAATAATAGTGCTAAGATTTATACAACGCTGACTGTTATGTGTGTTAAAATATTGTTAGAATTCATTTATAATAAAAAATCCTCGATCGTCCTACACAAATATCTTTTTTTATTAATCTGAACGATTAATAATAAATGTAGTGCATGAATAATATAGAATTAACGTAAATCGAGTTATAAAACTAATATTTATATGAATTTATTATAAATCTTAATATATATTATATACAAGGCGATTCATCAAGCATGCTCACTCACCTTTTTTCTTTTAATAATAAATATATTATCATCATAATCATATTTAATTTTTGGAATTTTTAAGTACACTTAAAGATCATATTTTTAAATTACTGAGATTTTTATACTAATTAAAGAGTATCATGTAATGATAAAAACTTCTGTTTTTTTTTTTTTAAATGAAAAATCTTTTTTATTATAAATTATTTAGTGGATATTTTTTTAGAAAAAGATTTAATGTAGGTGTCTAAACCTTAAATTTGAAATTCGGACGAATAGTTTTTCAGTATGAAAATATTTGCACTTAGAATAATAGTTCTAAAAAATAGTTTTACAAAAATGTATAATTTAGATTTATAAATAAAAAATATTGATAGATTAATATAAATTATCAATATTTTCAAATTATCATAACCCCCATTGACCCATATTTTCCAAACTCATATTATTATGGATATATTTTTATTTTGGTACGCCAACATTTTCAGAAAAATATATTTATAGGTAGTAAAAATAACCTAACTTTCTCATTTGAAAACCAGAAGTTTGGATCTCTACAGAATATTCTTTAAGTAAGGTTAGGTCTTGAGAGTTTAAAAATAGTTTTTGAGTATGTTTAAAAATTCAAAGATTATTTAGAATTTAAAATGTTTAGATTATTTAAAAAAACTGAATTTTAAAGAAAAAATGGGTAAGTAAAGCAGTTAACCACTATGTATAATTTAGATTGCGATTATTATTTTAACACGCTGTATTAACTTGGGATGTTATTTAAACATTTGTATTATTTAATATTATAATAATATCAATTATTACACTTATTCTATATTTTAAAAAATTTAATGAAAAACGAAATTAAGTTTTTGATCTTAAAAACATTTCAGGCCAAAAATATCTTGTTCTTTTTTCACGATGGTCATAAACTTTCACAATTACATAATGCTATTCCTATAGATAAAAGAAATGTGTGTACATGGTTTAAACCAATCCGGTCTAATGTCGATGACCTGGCGTTTTTTTTCAACAAGTGATTCAAAAACACCTGTTCTGTTATGATGTGCTAATGAAATTAGTATTTTGGACATTCAAAATGTTATTTAGTATTAATAAAGTTTTAATTACCGTAACTTTGTATGATCATTTTGAGCAAAAATAATAAAATGTTGAACAATACTTTATTGTAAACCGTATGAAATGTAATTTAATAACTATTTATATTAATAAAAAAATAATAAAGTATACGTCTCAATATTTAATATCATGTATTATCAAATAATGTTTCTTGCATAAATATTACTAGGAAGTTTGATGGCCACTAAGTGTTTGAAAATACGGTCTAAAGTCTTATAGTATTTTTAATAATTGCAAAAATAAGAATTAAAAAAACTTTAATATTAATTATTAAATTCATTAGGATAAAAGAATAGCAAGAACAACTTATTGATGAATCATTCTGTAGGTATTCTATTTTTTTTTAATCTACCCTCTTGTTAATGTAGTTTGTTCTAGTATCATTTAATCATTATAATAAATCATTTAAAGTAATGCGTTTTTAAAATGTTCTTAAAAATTGTAATTTTCTTGTAAATTTATATGGATATAGTTAAAAAGATAAATTACAAACCAAAGTTTCTGACTGAAATTATTGGGTATAATAAGGAAAATTCAATGAAACATTATCGATAAAATAAATTCATAACACACATTATATATTATATTGAGTACCGACAATAAATATAAATGAAGTAATGTAGTAAACTGCGTTTCATTAATTTATGAATTAATTGGGTACCCATCATTTTTATTAATTAACACTGTGAAATTTGTATGGCGGTAAAGTTAAATCGTAATAATTAAAGTGAAATGGAGGGCACCATCGATTTATTTTAATTCACGGCCAACATTATATTATTGTCTAGTCATAATGTATTATTTTAACATATTACATATTATATAGGTGTATAAAAGTATAAATTCCACGCGATGAATTTGTGTTCGTGCGTGTGTATGTTTGCAATAATATATTTTGTTTGAGATTAATTAGGTGTTATATTGGGTGCAGTATGTAAAAAAAATAAGTCAAAGTGTAAAGGCACGAAGGTACTTATATATTATTTACACAGTGTGTGTGTATGCACAAACATCGGTTCTTAATTTCTTATCTAATTAAGCGTGCGTTGTACAGCGTAACAACGTTTCTGGTGAAAAAAAAAATATTATTCGATCATCTATTATATTATTATGAATTTTTTTTATATTCTTCGTTCGAACGTACATAATTTTTTCGACGACACTAGTACCCGTAAGCATATTATATAGTTATGTTCTACTCGGTGGCGCGTCGGCAGTGTGTGTGGAAAACATGAAATAAAAGACAGAATAAGAGTGAGTGAATAAGAAGAGTGAGAGAGAAGGAGAGAGTGATGAAAAGACTCGTAGGAACATACCAACGAACGGCCCAACGTCGCCGATGCCGTTGCAGTGCGGTAACCGGTCATCGCCGACGAACACGCACGCACCCGCACGAATGGTTCGCAGCCGCATTATTCGAGTGCGAGTATGGAGCGATCGTGTGCGTGCGCGCCGCTGTGTGTGTGCTACATGCATGTTACGGGCTGACGGCCATGTTTGGCGTATACCCGCAGTTCAGGCGGCGTTAGCACCGGCACAGACTCACAACTCGCGCGTGCCGTGTTGCTGTTGTCGCATTACTGTATAGCATCCGATGAAACATCACGTCACTGTGTCTTTAAGGATGTGGGTGGGTCGGCAAGAGTGAACGTCTCAGAGGTAGGGGGTGGAAAATGTGTAGGTGTATGCTGTGTATGTACCCAAGTGTAATAGTCCTCATAATAATATTTATGAACTAATTAAAATTGAAATACAATTTAACACGCGCATGAGCTCAATTATTATTGACTGATTGTGACGATTTTATCTTTACATAGGTAATATATCGAATATTACGTACTGTATACTTAATATTATGTTTGGTCGAGAAAGAAAATTACTTAAAATATTACCGACAAGCGTTCTTGTTATAAACGATTTAAATTATAATATAGTTAGAATGAGACAATGTTATTGATCAATTAGAATTAAAGAAACGTTTAATAGTTTTTAATAAATTTTTCATGCATTTACGAGGAAAGGAGCAATACTTATAATTGATAAATGAAAAAAAGAAAGGCGTCGACAAATTACTATTTAGACTATTTAAAAGATTCGAAGCGTGCGAAAAAATAAATAACTGATATATTTGTAAAATAATAATAAAAAAATAGAAAAAATTGTTAATAATTTACTTTTAAGTAATAAATATAACAAATAGGAGGGGAACGATGACTCCAAAAATATGATTCTGGTGTATATACCTATTACTTAATAATTAATATTGATAAATGTTAGGTGAGGTATAAATTATAAATATAGTGAAGTGATCGATTTCTTTCCAATTAAACGAGAAACCTACAGTAAAATGTTTATTTTATTTTCTAAAAATTTTATCCATAATATTTACGATGTTGATATGCGAGCACCAACAAATTTTGTCGATTCAGAAGGGCCAAGATGCATTTTGCAGAGGTGACATAGGAAAATTGACAAATTTAAGTTTACTATTTGTTATTTGGTATATAAAAGTATTCTGTATTTACTACGACAAAATAGCTAGACGTACTATCCGTGTTTTAAGTATAGAAATATATTATAATATTATACTTTGTCGATATTTTTATTGAAAAATAGTAGACCAACCGTGTCCTTCTGACGGTTATCGCGTATACACTTATATTATAATAATATAAGCAACCTATACTATATAGAGGATTATATTTTTTATAGGCAATAGGTACAGTATAATAAACACAAAGTGTTGAAGATATGTTAAAAAAAAATGCGTTTAATTTATTTTATAATGCGTGTTTTGGCTTATTCTTTTTTTCCTAATATGTTAAATCAAACGATTTTTTAATTATAAAACCTGTTTATGTACGCTGCTGTGTAATGCATTATGGGAAACGAGTTGGTATATATTATAATATATAGGTATACCAACTGTAAACACAAATTTCGTGTATACACACATATATATACCTGCATTATTAACTGAGATAAAATTAGACATCATAGAAAATGTTAAAAAATGCAAAACTGGTGTTGCGGCCATTAGAGATCTACAAGACAAGTTCTAATGCCAAAAGTTCTCTCACATAAATATACATTATACACTCGCATTTTTGTACATTAATTATAATTTTTATAATAATCTTATGAATAAATATATATTCGTATATTATTACCTAGTGAAATAGAATTAATTTAAAAAAAATGTTACCTAGTCGATATTAATAATATATAAATGTTATGTTATCATAGTTTTGTTTATTTCGGCTAGGTTAATTTAAGTTGAGAACAAAAATAACATGCTTACAATTATATTAGAGTATACAAAACAATTTGTTTACCAACGATTTATGTTTATTTTGAATATATTGGCCATTTAATTAACTTTAATCACATAACGCAACACGCGCCATGTGGTATGCGGATATTATTACTTATACATAAATTATAATATTATTATATATTATTTCAGAAAACAATCAGTATTACAGTTGCATTAGCATCCGGCATCGTATCCCGTACTATTTAACTGCACAGGAAAAAAACTGTACCAGTGATGTATGTAAAGGCCACGTTTACAAAACTAAATTGCGACAATACAGATAAATTTTATATAAAATATAATTTTCGTCCTGGAGTAGTATATTAAATAACATTATTAATAATAATAGTAATATTCCAACGTATATCATGAAAATCGTTTGACCTAATGTCGTTATGCAATGCTGCAACGAAAATATATACGATTGGTACCCACATTTTCTCACTGTAAATTTAGTGCATTATATAATATATACAACACCTGTTATGTATTCAGCAGGTGGTAAAGTAAATATTTTTTGTATTCTGTTTGACTCTCGGTATAACGTTAAGCCCGAGGAAAATCGCTGCGAGGAGAGAGATAGAGTGAATGAGAGAAAATTCATTGTCGGCGGAGCGGGGTGCTATAAAAAAATATAAAATCAGACGAATTTTAGTCGTAAATGAAGCACATGTGTTGTATGCAAATGTAATAAACGCCACTGTAATTTGGAAAAATGTATGTTGGTCTCTCTGTTATTACTTATTAGCCATGTCGTTACTTATAATATTATTATTAGTTATTTCTTAAGCTATATTATACGAAATATGATGAAAGTACTTATTATTATCTAATCTACGCACCCATAGGTACCTAGTACCTACGTGGTTGTGCGTGACGACAAAATATATTAACATTGTCCCAAACGTTTAATATTTTTTTTGTTTATCAATGCATTATGTTTGTATACCATGTTATTTGATTAGTGATGGGTTGTATGTATAGACAATAGTTGCTGTAGAATGTAATCTCATTGCGTTGGAATAATTGCTTTATTCGACAAAATAAAAAAAACAACTTTTAAATATTTCTACTATAGGTATTGATGAATATTGAATACCGAAAAGTGTACTATTACAATGATTTTATTAGTAATATATAGTATCAACGAGTATGTTCACTTTTTTTTAGTGTTAAATATTATATAAGTATTATTATATAATAATTATACGCGGATTAATATATTGTACAGTAATACAAATAACACTAATTAATTTAATAACTTTATAGTGTACATTTTTTAAAGATAATATTAAACTATTATAATTAGATAATTATGAAAAAAAAATAATACAATAAATATAATAATAATTTAATTCGAATAATAAGTATTATATATTTATATTATTGGTTGTGTATTGATCACAAAGTAGTTATTATTATAAAATATGCGTTTAAGTATACTAACTAATGTAGTGTTCCTCGTATATTTTTAACATTTTTTGCTTTGTTAAAAAGAAATCCACGTACTGAAGATATAATATTATCATAGCTAATACTACAGACACTTGTGCACATCGAAACGTGGGCCTTTTTAAAATGATCCTGTCCATTGTTTTATATATACAATAATATACATGATATTTTTTGAAGTTCGTAAAGACGATTAATGCTTTTTTCATAGTAAGTTATAGTGAAGGCTTCTGTTTCTGTAGTCTGGGGTAATTATTTAATGATTGGTCTGAAAATAATTATTTTTAATAGGTCTTTTAAAAGCTATTTAATGTTTCAATGTTGATTATACACAAGTACAATATTATAATAATATTCAGTTTTTGATGTACAGCTATGAATATTCTATGATCACTTTTTCCCATTCAGTATTCACTCTACAACTCTCTTCAAAAATAATATGTTCTATGAAATATTCTTTATGCTATAGTTATCAAATAAAGTGAATGAATTTCTAATGTTAACTATTTATATAGTTAAAATTATACCAGTTAGTTTCTATACAAAATATTCATGTTGTTTTTCAATACATAAACTCGATGTACATAATATGTATAGTAGTAAAATTTATTATACACAGTGAATACTAAATAGTGAATAATGAATTATATATATATATATATCACAATTCGTTAAACAATGCGTTCTACAAATGCTGTTAAAATCGATTAAAATGCAATTATGATTTAAAGGACACCTTGAGTATATGATATTGTTTTGTCATGAATCATGATCATAATATTAACTTTCTAACTTATTATAGCTTATAAGTTATAACAAAACTATTAATCTTCTACACTTTTGTATATATAATATTATAAAATAATAAATTAATTTATTATTTTTAATATTCTATAGTTAGCAAGTCGTAACTTGATATTTGAAGAAATATTTTTGTTAATTATTTTCAGAACTGAGAAAATTATACAATAATTAAACATAAGAATTTTAATGATTGATTATAATTTGCAAATGATTTAAGTACTTGTATGATATAGTTTACATAACCACGTATATATTCATTTATGTATAATAATATAATATGATATAATATATACATATCTTTCTATAATCACTTTTTCTATGACTTTTTATTGAATAATTTTAAAACATCAATTTAATTTAATACAGAAATTAAACGTTTATCAATATATAAGCATGATAAATAAATAAAACCTCATTTGAAATTATCTATAAATTTATTATAATAAATGAATATTAAACTAAAATGTGTTGTTGAACATCGATTATAGGATATATTAACATTGTATAAAAAAAAAATAATAATAAAATAATCTATACTATATTGTAATTTATTATAATTTTATATTAAAATTATTTCGTTAAAGTACGATATTTTTAAATTTAAGCGAAGCGATGAAAGTATTTTTTACTTGAGATTGGTAGAAAGTTCTTATTTTAAAACTTTATAAAACGTTTTACTTAAGGATTTCATTGAATATTCTTTTGATTATATTATAAACTGAAAAATAGTCTATTTTTGAATTTGTTGTTCTCACAAAAAGTTGAAATAAAATATGATTTTCTAAAATCAAAAATAAAACTTTTCATACTTGGAAAGTTTTTGTAGTCTTGGTATTAATAAATAGAGCAATTCGCCTTTTCATTAGTAGTAATAATAAATAAATTCAAATAACTTGCAATGCTTGCATATTTAAATGTTTCATTTGTAGCATTTATTTATTTCTATTTAAAGAATTTAAACTTTATAAAAAATAGTCTGAAATTAATGGATTGTTGTAAACACAAGCGTTGACAATTTAGTTTAAAAATAAAACATTTAAATTAAATTTTTATCAATTAAATTAAAATTATATTCAAAAGATTATTTCCAGTCGATTAGTTTTCTCTGCACAATGACGTTTTAAACATAGTTACTAGTTACTACATATCTAGTGTTGCTGAAATATTCAAATATTCATAATAGTTATGTGTACAACTTATTAGTATTCTAATATAGTTATTACTTATTATATATACGCGTGAATGTCTGAATGTGCCTGTGTGTTTACGGTGGTGTTATTTAGGTACTATGATAGTGTTATGACTGTTATGAGTGTTATGACGTTACTAATATATATTTTTATATTATGAATATTTTTTTTTCAACCTTTATTGTAGTAACAAATTTACAATATACATATATTTTATACAATGGCATTTGCTTATGAACGTCTACAGCCGTATGTTTTGGTGCCGCATTACAATATAATGTAGTGTATAAAATAATAAAAACCATCGAAAAAGTTTATTTATAGCTACAACTCTATAACCGTTACATAATATAGAGTCATATAGAATAATTTAAACATATAAGGAATACTATAATATCACCTAGGGCATTAGTTTTTTTTCACTAACACTTTTTCCCAGATTCCTAATGATAACCTTCAAATCCAAAAGATTTTAAATCGTAAGTTAATTTCTAAATGTCATATGGTACCCAATTCCGACCTCGGGCTTTATTGCCTACGTATAGGTACCTACAAAGTCATTGTTTATATAATTTTAAATAAGCGCTGTGATAGGGCTATTAATATCACTGTATAGTGTGTACTTACTCGGTGACGCGTCATAGAATCGCGTTCAGATTTATATATAAAAAAAAATGTTCATTGGCTAGTCGTTATTACGTTAGTGGTATCATTATTTATTCTAGTATTCGATTAGTTAATTATTATTATTTCTCTGATTACACTCGACTGCGTTTTATGATATTCGGCCGTGTTATTCACATCATGCTTACAGGCTGGAACGCCTATTATAATGGGATCGGGTCAGTCCGCGTATCAAAGGTCGCGGGTATGAGCACAACACATACAACTGATAGCGAGCAACGGGAAAACGGTTGCAGCGATAAGACCAAACAGAATAAACGCACATTATCGAAGCGATAGCCGTTCACAATTTTATATAAAACATAATATTAAATTATTTAAATTTTAACAAAATATTAATTTTTCTATTAATATATATTATTTTGAAAAAACTGTTCACGAAGTAAACATTTAATGAGCATTTCGTTTCCGCCAATATGAAAAAAATACGATGTTTTATACTTCTTAATCGATTTTATTATCTAATATTATTGCTATTAATAATAATATGGCATATTGGTGTTATATTATATTTTCGTAATAGTAACCTAACCTAATCTATTGGAAACAGTTTATTTTTTCCTACAATATTATAGTTAATTGTTGTTCTTTGTGTTCCTCTTGCAATAATTTTTATGTTTTTGATTTACTTCTATTTGTTAATTATTTATATGTATTATGTTTATACTTATAAGTTAAAAGTTATAACGAATTATATTTGACCAATTAGAACTTTTAAAAATGTATCATAGATAAAAGTGACTTATAGAAATGATTTTAAAAATACAATTATTATTATGTTAAAGGTTTATCTATAAAAGTACACCACAATAAATGTTAATAAATTAACGGAAAAGTTAGTTGCTGCACTACACGAATCACGCTGAGACGAAATCAATCGTACTACACATCATTTTTATTTAATTATTTTAAATGTTCCAATAAGCTATACAAGCATATTATTATGAACTTTTATAAGTATAATTATTCAAAGTCATTTGATTATAATGATTTTTTCAAGACAAGTCGTATCTAATTATGTTTTAATTGAAATGATTATATTTGGTCAAATATAAATCATAATAAACCCATAATTGATTAAGCTGCTCTGCAGTTACAACGATTTT